TGAAAATAAAAACAGAATATTAAAGAAAAGGAAAACGAGGTAAAAAAAAAAAAATGAGTATGTATGCAGCTGCAATTCCAACACACACACAAAAGCGCACAGGAAGACAGGCAGAGAAAAAGGGAGGGAGGGAGAGACGGTGAGTGTTGCGTGTGCGGTTCGCTACGGAGAAGAGAGATGCGGTGGACTCCGATGAGTTCCCACGACCGCAATGACACCCGTGCATTGCTTTTATTTATTGAGGGAGGGTTTTCTGTCTGCTCGTCTTTTTTTTTTTTTTTTCTTCTGACGCTACACGACTTGCATCGCACCACCTCACCGTTGCCTTTTTTTTTTTTTTCTACTTTTACTCGTGAGGTTTGTGCTCGTCTGTCTCTCTCTCTCTCTCTCTCTCACTGAGTCTCCGTGTGTGTGTGTGCGTGTTTGTGTGCATGCTTTTTTAATGTGTCTGCTGGCTTTCGGTGAGGCGGGCCATGCCTGCGCAATGCACATCTCCTGAAATGCATGCAGTAGGCGTATTTGTGTCTGTGTGGCACAATTATTTCTCTTCCACCGCTCTGCATAACTACTGCGCACACCCACTCGCACAACAAGGAGGGGGTGGGAAAGGAATTAGTTAGAGAAACTTTGAGGGAAAAGAAAGAAGAAGAGACTGGGAAAAAATTGATTTTAGCAAAATGACCGACGCATTGTTTGGACTCTCCAGCGAGTCACGCACAATCCTTGATCGATACCTGCAGTGGACTCGTCTGGCATGTGACGGACTGAAGCGCGGCGTCCATTTAGATGCCTCCAACCACCAGGTGGGAAACATAATTCAGGAGACGTACACAAGGGATGAACTCAAGGACATAATTAGCGCCCATACCGAGGTGCTGCTTCACTCGCTGGAAGCCCGCATGGAGGGGTTTGCGGCTGCCTCAGCAGAGCTGCTGTGCGCGGTCCTCCGGGACGCTGATCGTCAACGAGTGACGATTGGAGTGGACGCCAACGCAGTGCTGAGTGCTGCTACTGCCACGGCTTCCGCGGCTATGGTGGGGACGACGGCTACCGGTCTGCTGCTGGATCATGAAAGGAAGGTCCTGGGTGGACCGCGTGGTCGTCTTGCGCCATTGACGGTTGCCGACGCTGATGTTGAGGCCAGTCGGCAGCTCACTGAGGCAAAGGAAGAGATACGCCGCCTTCAGGAGAAGGTGCACCATCTCTCAGACGCATACGCTCAGGTGATGAACACGCGGGATGCCCTCAACTCACATGAGGCGGAAGCGACAGCATCTCAGATGGCGCTGCGTCAAAAGGAGCAGGACGAGAGTTCTTGCCAAACAATTGAGGAACTACGCGTCGCGTTGGCAGCGGCGAAACAGGATTTGAACGCGCGACTAAATCAGTCCACGCAATATCGGGAGGTGAAGAAGATCTTGGCGCAGAAGAACGAACAAATTAGGAAGCTGCGGGCTCACCTCGCGCAGTTCGATCCTGCGTTCCTGCAGAATGATGATGGCGGTGGCGACACAATAGTTGAGCAGGATGATTAAGTTGCGAGTTAGCATTAGTGACGCATACTTTTAGGCGGTGGGGTGGTGGCTAAAGCAAAGAAGGGTGTTTTGTTTTAACCCGAAATTAGAATTGAGGCAGCGAAAGCAAAAAGTGGACGAATAAACGAGAAGGTTGTAGGAATTGTATACATTTTTTCCTGTGTATTTATTCATTTTATTGTGGTGTGTGTATCTCCGTGTTACGTATTCTCTGAGTGCACATATGTGCACACATATACACATACGCGTATGCATAAAGAAAGAGAGAGAGAGAGAGGGATGCCTCATGTATATTTTTTTTTGTATTTGTGTGTATGTTTGTTTTTGACTTTATGGGGTGTTGATGAGGGTAATTTTTTTGTTATTTTATTTTAATTTTTTTGGCCTCCTTGCCCTCTCTTTTTTTTTTTTTTTTATGAGGGAGTCCTTTTCCGTGATTTTTCCCTTTTAGTACGAGCCGTGGTCGGCGTGTTGGATGGGGGTTCGTAGTGCTGGTGGGGGTGGCACGGTGGTGTTGGCTGGCAATGTCGGTATCACAGCTATTCTCGCTGGCCTTGCCATTGTGCTTTCCGCTGTCACTTACATCGCAAACAGGCGACGCACAAACGAACCCCATTTGCCAGGCCACGTCTCTTTGCGTGGGAAGCGTGCGGTTGAAGAGCGCCGCGGATTACATGGGAATAGTAATAACAAAACTGGGGGCGTAACTGGGACTGGGGGTGGTGGTGGGAGTGCAAGCAGACAGACGGGAGGTGTGGGAGGCGGTGGTGGAGGGGCAACGACAGGACCCAAGTCATACTGCGCGCTGCGGGCTGAGCGACATGTGGGCCAATACAACGCCAACCTACTCGAGTGGAGAGATGACGTTATAGGGGTGCGCATGCTCTTTTCTCCAATTCTCTTTGCGGTGGAGACGGAGGAGCGGCAGGCACCGCTGCTGCTCGTTGCTCTGCGTTACTTGCGTCAGCCAGAGCATCGTGTAGCTGTCATCATTGAGTCATGTGTCACAGCGGCAACGGCAGAGGAGTACCGCGACGGTAGCCTTGCCCGGATACGTGACTGTGTCAAGCTTTTGTCATGTGGCACCACTCGTATTGGCGTCACATCACACCCCTCCGCGGAGTACTGTTATATGGACGCGGGCAACAATCTCCGCTATGCCCTATCCGTGTTTCTTACGCATGGAAATTTGGCCGTCACTGCGCAGTACGTCGCTGACACACGCGTCAAGGGAGTTTTGCCGACAGCATTCAATGAGCTTGTGCGATCTATTCAGCTTCAGTCGCCACGGCCGACGCCATCATATTTATTATGTGCAGAGCCACGTCTTGGTCTTGGCTTTCGTCTGCCACTAGACTTTGCCATGGATGACCAGTTGCGCGAGGCTCTTGTGGTGCCTGATGATTCTTTGGTGAAGAGTGTGGGTTTTGAAGGCAGCCATGGCAATTCTAACTTTGTCAACGCAGGCCATCACGGCGTTTCCAAATTGTTACCTGCGGAGTTGATGTCAAGTACAAGGAGCCTGCGGCATTCTCTAGGAAGTGTTGAGGAGAAGACGAGTGCTGGAATTGAATGCGGCACGCCGTTTGCAGCAGTTGCGGGGTGTGGGTCACGGCGGATGGTCGTGGTGGCGTGTTACGAGCCACCTGCACGTGGTCGTGTTTCGTGGCAGTTGCTCTTTGAACGCCTTCTTCTCACCACATTGGCGCGCTTCTCGGCAGTTCAAGGAGGAGGAGTAAGAGATGATGGCGAGGAACAAGGGAAGGGAACAGCGCCCATTAGTGTCGTGTGGTGCGCAGGGGAGCAGGAGTTGTCTCGGAAGAACGACAAGTTTAACACCTTTATTGTACGCCCGCAGCAACTCGTTGTGCCCATCAACGGCGACGGTGCTGTGGACGACGGTACCAGTGACACGCTGCTGCTTGACGGTTCCTTTTGTGTGCAAGAAATTACGCTTGACTCAGAAGGTGCCTCGTTTCCGGTGCTGCGTGAATTACTTCAGCTGCAGTGTGAGGAGGAGGGGGAGGAAGAAGATAAAAAGGACGTGGGAGGAGGGCCGCGACGAGATGAAAAGAAGAAGATGATGATGGAACCCGCCGTCTTCTCAGCTTATCTGAGCGTCTTTTGTTTGCGTATCCGAGACGAATGTGTGTCGATAAGCTTCCTCTCATCCGCGACGCGGCACACTTTGGGGGAATTTATCACCTTCTGCCACCGCACACTGGACACCGTTTCGGTGGGCAACCACTTCGGCCAGAGCACATCAATTATTTACTGCAATACACGACACGAGGTGATGCCGTTTAGCATTCTGCTTGAGCCCGCAAGTGCGGGGGGGACCACCTCGGTGCTGGTGGAGGAGCCCATCATTGGTGATCCACTGGCGCTCATTCACGTCAGCGGCCTTGAGCGCGTAAAGGTGCTTCTGCGTGTGTTTCCGTTTCCTTCCGCACCCCTGACATCATCGCATTCGCAGCGAAGGATGGCGAAACGCTTGGAAAAGATTGTGCAGAATTACTTGTCGCAGTTGCCGGATTCTGTGTGTGTACATCACTTGGGGACGACGATGCTTGGGTCACGCGCCGCGCTGGAGATCCACTACGAACAGATGATTGACGACGACGACAGTGACGCGGGTTTGCTTGCGCTGGACGAAGAAGTCGGGCATATCAACCCCTTCGCTAGTTACTGGGGCACATCATCGTACTCCGCAGTGGGCATCAGCGCAGCAGAGAGTGCGACGAAATCAACGTTTTCTTCTTTTGCCCCTGCCGGGGCACCCACGTTGACTTCTTCGTGCTCAGTTGACCCGCTGCTGCTGCGCTCATCCTCCCGTGACTCCCGTGAAGAGGTCGCGTCGATGCGTGTGGCGGTGGTGTTGTGCTTTGAGGGTTTCGGCTTTTTGTTTATTGCGTCCTCCATGGATTACTCGCTTAACGCCGTGCGGCAGGTGGTGCGCCAACTGGCCGCCAACGTGTCGGTCGGAACAGGTGTCCCCATTTAGACATGTGCAAGCCTATTTACTTCAAATCATCGCCAATACCACCGTCTCTCTCCCTCTTTTTTTTTTTTTTCCTTCTCGTGTTGGAGGCTTCTTGGGCCTTTTACACAGCTTGTTTTAGATTTTAAGCATGTTGTCATGTCCCTCTTAGCGCCCTTTTTTTTGTGTTTGTACACAAAGAATTCGGAAGCAATATATATATATACAAAAGAAAAGGGCCAACGAGGAAGATGCTTTACTGCCGCTGGAAGGATGAAAGTAACGGCAGCCGTGATGAAGCAATGAAAGGAGGTGGGGTGGGAAACACGGCAGGTGAACATTTTCTTGCTTGTTTTGTTGTTTGCAGTACTCACTCCCGCATTTCCCCTCCCCCTTACTTTGTCCTTTTTTTTTCCTCTTTCTCATTATCTCTATTTATATTTATTTATTTTTTTATAGTCACCCTTTTTAAATTTGCCTCCGCAGGCTGAGTGGCAATCACGCGAGCACAACAACACATCAGGTGACGTCATGGGACTTCTCTGCAACGCGAGTATCTTCGCCCTCATGGTGCTGCCCGTGTTTCTGCTCAGCAAAGGGCACCACGTCGAATTCAGGCGTCTCATTGCACTTGCGGCGATTATCGTGTCGTGTATGATCTCCGAGTCGACATTGTTGGGTTCCCTTGCCGGGGTGCCGCCGCTGCAGAACCTTGTCACGGTTGTGGTGATACCCGTTTTCGACACGCTCTTGATGGATTTTGTGTTGAACGATCCCAAGGCGCGGAAGGTGTTGCACATCCACGACGCCGGCGATGATGCCGCGGCGGTGTTAACTGCACTCTGGACGGCGGTGGATCTCTTGTTATACCGCTGGTTCCGCTGGTATCACTTCATCAGTGGGCTTGGCTTTGATGCGGAGAACCTTGAGTCGGCGGTGGAGGCATTTGTTGATCTCAACGCGCGGCTTCTCTCGTCAAGACGCATAAACGGCTGGAGTCATAACAGCGTTAAAAGTAACTCGAAACGTAGGGCGTGGATAGGTGTCGCATTTGTGCGTGTCATAACGACAGCGGTTGGCGTGGCGAATGGATCCACGCTGATTGGCAACGTTTTATTCACCGCGGCTCTGGTGCTAATGCAGCTGCTTCTTCCTCCACTTCCAGAAAACGGCAGCAGGGAGGAATAAAACATACGTAGAAATGAAAATACTTAACCGTGTGTCATTTCCACACACATTATTTTTGTGAGAAGAATAAAGGGCGAGAAAGTGGAATATATATAATATTACGGCATTTAATTTTCCCGGGTTTCCACCGCTCAATGCAACAGCCATTCCCTAAACTCACGCACTCTCTCGGTTCTTTTTTTCTTTTTGTTTCTCTCCTCTCTCTCTCTCTCTCTGTGTGTGTGTGTGTGTGTGTGTGTGTTTCTGTTATTCTTCGTCGCGAATGCAAAAAGACTTAGTGCTGCGTGCTTAGAGCTCAAATGGAGGCACTTGTAGCAAAGGCGGTAGAACGCCTTGGGAAGAAGAAGCTGTGGCTTGTTGTGCACACCCTGCGTCGCGTGAATGCGGCGGACTGCACTGTTGCCGGTGTACGTGAGGCGCTTCGCGGCATCCGCCTGTACGTTGAAGACGACAAATTTGCGGAAGTCGCTGCGCAGTTTGTCGGAAAAGATGGTGCCACGTTCAACGTCGCCGCATTTGTGCGGGCGTTTTTGGCGACGTTGCCGCCACGCCGCCAGTACGCCGTCAGTCTTGTGATGCGAAAACTTGACCCGGAGTCGAGCGGCTTTGTCAGCTTTGACACGCTGCGGGAGATGTACGATGTGATGCGGCACCCGCTGGTGCTGAAGCGGGCGGACCCGAGTGAACTCGTCGATGAATTCATCGCGGACTTTGAGGAGGCGCGCGAGGAGGACGGCATCACGACGGATGAACTCGCCGCGTATTACGTCGGCATCTCTCACACCACGCTGCATGACGAGGACTTTGAGCTCCGCTGCATCCGGAGCTTTTCGCTTGACCGCCCACGAGCACGGCTCGATGCGGAGTCGTCTACGTCACATGCAGGGAAGCTGCGGAGCAGAACACTGTCCACCTACAATGCGGCAAAGCACCCGCTCTACGAGACGACGTCGATGGGGTATGGCAAAGATTGTGAAAAGGTGAAGTACGACGGCAAATTCTCACTCAAACACTGCTTCACAAAGCACGCACCGATGCAACGAGGAGGCGGTGCCACATCCATGAACATGTAATTAAAGGGTGAAGTTGATATATATATATATATATATGTCTCTGTGTCTCCAGGAACCGGGCTGCCAGCAACGCGCAGATCCCCTTTCTTTGTATTGCAACGTTTGTCCCGTGGCAAGTTGATTTTCTGCCATTTTCCTAACAGCATTGTTTTTTAAATGAAAACCATCTGCTTCTTTTCTTTATTTTTACCCTGCCTGTTTATTCTTTTCTACTTATTGAGTTATTTCCCCCTTTTTTTTCTTCTTTTTTTTGGAGGGGTGGGAGGTTGTTTTTTTCGTGCTTTTTCTTGACGCATACATACACAGTGTCATCTCACGCATTCTCATTTTAGTCCCCCCTACCCTCTCCTAGTGTGTTGTGGCATTTGCCATGGCGGAGTGCTTTTGCGCCGAATTGATTCTCAAAAAAGGACCCGAAACGCTGCAGCGACGCATATCTCTACGGATACCGAAGGACGGCACGCCCGTCACGGTGGGACGTGCGCCGGAGAACGATATTGTTCTCGATGCAAAACTGGTTTTTGCGTCGCAAAGACACTGTCAGTTGTTTGTGCGTCCCGTGATGGTTACTACGAGTGATGAGGATGCGGTGAAGGAAGAGAGGAAGGAGGGAGAAGAAGCGATAAAATCACGGCGTCAGAAGAGGCCACGGGTCGGTCGTGATGCGCTGCAGTTAGAATTATGTCTTGTTGACATGGGCAGCAGCAATGGAACATTTGTCAACGGTGTCCGCGTGGAGGAGAATGCCGTCACGCCGCTGCGTCGCTGCGATATGCTCGTTTTTGGCGGGATGCGTGACATCGCGGTGGGTGCATCTTTGCCAGTAGATGTGGTGACTTGTGCACCGGAGATTGTCACCTGGTGTGTTGCCCTCAATGAGGGTGAAGTCAACGTGGACTACGTGGCAACCCCGCCGGTGGTACTTTGTGCGGACTTCGTCGAGGCGGAGGAAAAGCGGATGGCCCTGGAGCTTTTGCGGCGCATGACATCACCGCCCCCTGCGAGCCACAGATTCACGACAGCAATGACACCGCCACCGACGGTTCTAAAGCGATGGAAAGAGGCGCAGTCAGGACAGGAGGAGGAGGAAGAACACAACAAAACACCGCAAAAGCCTTCCGCTCGTGAGGTCGTTCTGAGGGACTATGCGGACAACAATAACAGTGAAAACAACGAAGCGGCGAATGCCCAGAATGAAATAGGTGCATCCACGCGGCGCTCCGGCACTGTTGCCGCAGAAATACTTGTGCACGGAGACACTGTGTGGAATGCCACTCACCCATTTGTAATACTCCGTGCGGTACGGGTCGGGATGCACAACTTTTTCCTGTCGCGCGCCAAGAACGCGGCGGGAAAGGATGGACGTTTGCGTATTGGAGACACGCGAAAAAAAGGCAATCAACTGTCGCACCTCTACACACTCACACTCACAGAGACCCATTGGAAGTGGGTGATGAACAACGCCGTCGGCAGCTATACTGGCAGAGGAGGCAAGGTCACGAACGCCAAGCAGCAGTCGATCGTTGAATATCAGCTGCCGTGGCCATACGTAGAGCGAATAATGTACTGTGAGTCCCAATATGGATTGACGGCACTGCTGCTGCCGCCGGACGTCAAAAATCTGCTGCCGCCACTCGCGGAACTCTCAGTGGATTCCGCAGAAAGACCGATACATGTTACATGGATGGTGGATCCAGCAAAGGATAGAAATAAAGGCAAAATAGAGACTGTAGGATCTGCCCCTGTCACATTTCAGCAATTTTTGCGGGAGCTTAGACACACCTGTGCAAGAAATAAAGCACCGGAGCCGCAACCATTGGAGGAGTCAGAGTTCCTAGACCGTTATGCCCCCGACTTATAGAGAGAGATGGAGCAAATCCCATACACACACATCATGCCAAGAAGTCAACCAGCTATTTTTTTTCGTTGTTTATTATTTTCAGCATCTCGCGCGCGAAAAGCCACGCGGCGTGCGTGGGCCGGCTCGGTGCTTCTGATGTTGTCGCCGGTTGCTGACGCCCCCGCCGTGTAGTGCCTGGGAGTTGCACACAGCGCCATAGATTGGCCTTTTTTTTTTTTCTTTACACACCGCTATTTTTATTTGTTGTTTGTGTGTGTCTCCGTGGGCCGTGCTGAGATGTGCTCTAATTGACGCGTTCACATACGGTGCACATGCGCACTGCGTATGCACGGCGATGCGCGCGTGTCCCTGTCGCGACCTGCTCTCGCCGTTCCCATTCTGTTGTTTCTGTGTTCTTTTTGTTGTGGTGTCTTGCGGCACAAATAAGGAAGCCTGCGTTGAAACATCAACAAGCGAAAAAAAGAAAACAACAACAAGAACAACAAGCAACAAGAATAAAAGGAGATATGTCGAGGTCGAAAGAGACGGCGCGGAGCAAGCGTACCATCACTTCTAAGAAGAGCAAGAAGGCCCCCAAGGCCCCTGGTGCGGCCACCGGCGTGAAGCACGCACAGCGCCGCTGGCGCCCGGGCACCGTGGCGCTCCGCGAGATCCGCCAGTTTCAGCGCTCCACGGACCTTCTTCTGCAGAAGGCGCCCTTCCAGCGCCTGGTGCGTGAGGTGTCGGGTGCGCAGAAGGAGGGCCTGCGCTTCCAGAGCAGCGCGATTCTTGCGGCGCAGGAGGCGACGGAGTCCTACGTTGTGTCGCTTCTCGCCGATACCAACCGCGCGTGCATCCACAGCGGCCGCGTGACGATCCAGCCAAAGGACATCCACCTCGCCCTCTGCCTCCGTGGTGAGCGCGCGTAGCCATGTGGGCTGTCCCTCCGGGACGGAAGCGCCGTCGAGTGCGTGTGAAAGCGTTAGAGTGTGCGGGTGTGTCTTCTCACGCCCGCCTTTTGGTTTTCTCCGCCACTCACTTTTCCCCCCCTTCATTGGTTTTTTCTGTTTTACACCGCCCTGTCTTTTCTTTTTTTTTTTTTTTTGTTGTTTATTATTTTCAGCATCTCGCGCGCGAAAAGCCACGCGGCGTGCGTGGGCCGGCTCGGTGCTTCTGATGTTGTCGCCGGTTGCTGACGCCCCCGCCGTGTAGTGCCTGGGAGTTGCACACAGCGCCATAGATTGGCCTTTTTTTTTTTTCTTTACACACCGCTATTTTTATTTGTTGTTTGTGTGTGTCTCCGTGGGCCGTGCTGAGATGTGCTCTAATTGACGCGTTCACATACGGTGCACATGCGCACTGCGTATGCACGGCGATGCGCGCGTGTCCCTGTCGCGACCTGCTCTCGCCGTTCCCATTCTGTTGTTTCTGTGTTCTTTTTGTTGTGGTGTCTTGCGGCACAAATAAGGAAGCCTGCGTTGAAACATCAACAAGCGAAAAAAAGAAAACAACAACAAGAACAACAAGCAACAAGAATAAAAGGAGATATGTCGAGGTCGAAAGAGACGGCGCGGAGCAAGCGTACCATCACTTCCAAGAAGAGCAAGAAGGCCCCCAAGGCCCCTGGTGCGGCCACCGGCGTGAAGCACGCACAGCGCCGCTGGCGCCCGGGCACCGTGGCGCTCCGCGAGATCCGCCAGTTTCAGCGCTCCACGGACCTTCTTCTGCAGAAGGCGCCCTTCCAGCGCCTGGTGCGTGAGGTGTCGGGTGCGCAGAAGGAGGGCCTGCGCTTCCAGAGCAGCGCGATTCTTGCGGCGCAGGAGGCGACGGAGTCCTACGTTGTGTCGCTTCTCGCCGATACCAACCGCGCGTGCATCCACAGCGGCCGCGTGACGATCCAGCCAAAGGACATCCACCTCGCCCTCTGCCTCCGTGGTGAGCGCGCGTAGCCATGTGGGCTGTCCCTCCGGGACGGAAGCGCCGTCGAGTGCGTGTGAAAGCGTTAGAGTGTGCGGGTGTGTCTTCTCACGCCCGCCTTTTGGTTTTCTCCGCCACTCACTTTTCCCCCCCTTCATTGGTTTTTTCTGTTTTACACCGCCTGTCTTTTCTTTTTTTTTTTTTTTTTGTTGTTTATTATTTTCAGCATCTCGCGCGCGAAAAGCCACGCGGCGTGCGTGGGCCGGCTCGGTGCTTCTGATGTTGTCGCCGGTTGCTGACGCCCCCGCCGTGTAGTGCCTGGGAGTTGCACACAGCGCCATAGATTGGCCTTTTTTTTTTTTCTTTACACACCGTTATTTTTATTTGTTGTTTGTGTGTGTCTCCGTGGGCCGTGCTGAGATGTGCTCTAATTGACGCGTTCACATACGGTGCACATGCGCACTGCGTATGCACGGCGATGCGCGCGTGTCCCTGTCGCGACCTGCTCTCGCCGTTCCCATTCTGTTGTTTCTGTGTTCTTTTTGTTGTGGTGTCTTGCGGCACAAATAAGGAAGCCTGCGTTGAAACATCAACAAGCGAAAAAAAGAAAACAACAACAAGAACAACAAGCAACAAGAATAAAAGGAGATATGTCGAGGTCGAAAGAGACGGCGCGGAGCAAGCGTACCATCACTTCTAAGAAGAGCAAGAAGGCCCCCAAGGCCCCTGGTGCGGCCACCGGCGTGAAGCACGCACAGCGCCGCTGGCGCCCGGGCACCGTGGCGCTCCGCGAGATCCGCCAGTTTCAGCGCTCCACGGACCTTCTTCTGCAGAAGGCGCCCTTCCAGCGCCTGGTGCGTGAGGTGTCGGGTGCGCAGAAGGAGGGCCTGCGCTTCCAGAGCAGCGCGATTCTTGCGGCGCAGGAGGCGACGGAGTCCTACGTTGTGTCGCTTCTCGCCGATACCAACCGCGCGTGCATCCACAGCGGCCGCGTGACGATCCAGCCAAAGGACATCCACCTCGCCCTCTGCCTCCGTGGTGAGCGCGCGTAGCCATGTGGGCTGTCCCTCCGGGACGGAAGCGCCGTCGAGTGCGTGTGAAAGCGTTAGAGTGTGCGGGTGTGTCTTCTCACGCCCGCCTTTTGGTTTTCTCCGCCACTCACTTTTCCCCCCCTTCATTGGTTTTTTCTGTTTTACACCGCCTGTCTTTTCTTTTTTTTTTTTTTTTGTTGTTTATTATTTTCAGCATCTCGCGCGCGAAAAGCCACGCGGCGTGCGTGGGCCGGCTCGGTGCTTCTGATGTTGTCGCCGGTTGCTGACGCCCCCGCCGTGTAGTGCCTGGGAGTTGCACACAGCGCCATAGATTGGCCTTTTTTTTTTTTCTTTACACACCGCTATTTTTATTTGTTGTTTGTGTGTGTCTCCGTGGGCCGTGCTGAGATGTGCTCTAATTGACGCGTTCACATACGGTGCACATGCGCACTGCGTATGCACGGCGATGCGCGCGTGTCCCTGTCGCGACCTGCTCTCGCCGTTCCCATTCTGTTGTTTCTGTGTTCTTTTTGTTGTGGTGTCTTGCGGCACAAATAAGGAAGCCTGCGTTGAAACATCAACAAGCGAAAAAAAGAAAACAACAACAAGAACAACAAGCAACAAGAATAAAAGGAGATATGTCGAGGTCGAAAGAGACGGCGCGGAGCAAGCGTACCATCACTTCCAAGAAGAGCAAGAAGGCCCCCAAGGCCCCTGGTGCGGCCACCGGCGTGAAGCACGCACAGCGCCGCTGGCGCCCGGGCACCGTGGCGCTCCGCGAGATCCGCCAGTTTCAGCGCTCCACGGACCTTCTTCTGCAGAAGGCGCCCTTCCAGCGCCTGGTGCGTGAGGTGTCGGGTGCGCAGAAGGAGGGCCTGCGCTTCCAGAGCAGCGCGATTCTTGCGGCGCAGGAGGCGACGGAGTCCTACGTTGTGTCGCTTCTCGCCGATACCAACCGCGCGTGCATCCACAGCGGCCGCGTGACGATCCAGCCAAAGGACATCCACCTCGCCCTCTGCCTCCGTGGTGAGCGCGCGTAGCCATGTGGGCTGTCCCTCCGGGACGGAAGCGCCGTCGAGTGCGTGTGAAAGCGTTAGAGTGTGCGGGTGTGTCTTCTCACGCCCGCCTTTTGGTTTTCTCCGCCACTCACTTTTCCCCCCCTTCATTGGTTTTTTCTGTTTTACACCGCCTGTCTTTTCTTTTTTTTTTTTTTTTGTTGTTTATTATTTTCAGCATCTCGCGCGCGAAAAGCCACGCGGCGTGCGTGGGCCGGCTCGGTGCTTCTGATGTTGTCGCCGGTTGCTGACGCCCCCGCCGTGTAGTGCCTGGGAGTTGCACACAGCGCCATAGATTGGCCTTTTTTTTTTTTCTTTACACACCGCTATTTTTATTTGTTGTTTGTGTGTGTCTCCGTGGGCCGTGCTGAGATGTGCTCTAATTGACGCGTTCACATACGGTGCACATGCGCACTGCGTATGCACGGCGATGCGCGCGTGTCCCTGTCGCGACCTGCTCTCGCCGTTCCCATTCTGTTGTTTCTGTGTTCTTTTTGTTGTGGTGTCTTGCGGCACAAATAAGGAAGCCTGCGTTGAAACATCAACAAGCGAAAAAAAGAAAACAACAACAAGAACAACAAGCAACAAGAATAAAAGGAGATATGTCGAGGTCGAAAGAGACGGCGCGGAGCAAGCGTACCATCACTTCTAAGAAGAGCAAGAAGGCCCCCAAGGCCCCTGGTGCGGCCACCG